ACGTGACCCAGGGACACCGCGGCCGTCATAAATACGAGGCAGTTGCCAAGCGGCTGGATTTTTATCCCATGACCAGGGGGAGGCAGCAGTGGTCGTAAGTGTGGGAAATGCCCCTAAGTCACATTTTAAAGTGCCGTTGTAACTTTGAGCGGTCGCTAAATGAACTGTTGTAAGTCGAGGACTACTTGTACATTGTAAATCCGTGATGGATCACGTAAAATGGGTCACCTACACAGGAATGACCTGATTTTACAACCTCTTTTGCAGTGGCCATTAAGCGAATCTTCGGAGTTGTTAAAATGCACACGTTACGGTTAAGGAGTGCTTGTAAGTTGAAAGTTCCTGGACCCACAATTGTTGGTGCTTGTGCCGCTGTGCAAAGGTTAATAACACAAGGCTACACACAGACACACAAACACACATGCCGATCTCCTCTTTACTTCGAGAGCTTCGGTCTTTCTTCCTCCGCTTCGCTGTTGCTTTTCCAGCGCACGCCCCCAGGTGGCGCACTTGTCCCCCGCCCGTCCCACTCACCATCTGTAGCCTCGCTCTCGCGGCGGCTGCTTCTCCCCCAGACCCCCGTTGAACCCCCCCACCCCCGCCCGTATGCCTGCCACCAAGCGACCCTCCAATCAAAATAAGGACAGGCATGATCTGATCGTCACGGGATTCGATTGCCAGGCGAAACCGGGCAGGAGGCCCCCGTGAGTTGGCGTGCACAGAGGAGCGTTGCGCGTTAGATGGCTCGACGTTGGTCAGGAACGCCAATGTGCCCCTTTGGAAGTTGTTGGCAGGAAAGGTTTCCTCTTGGAAGCAGCCGAGGGCTAAATTTTTCCCAGCCTTGTGGGGCTTCTGTTCCGCTGGCTTTGCAGATGGGGAAGAGAGGAGTTCAACTCCTGTTCCTTCAACTCCTTTCTGCAAACCCCACTCCCTTCTACCACTGGTGATGTTCCCTAGTTGGGTCATGAAACGTCTGCAAGAAAGCCACCAAGCCCAGAGAGCACCAAGAACACTGGAGTCTTTTTCTTCTTCTTCCTCCTCCTCCTCCTCCTCCTCCTCCTCCTCCTCCCTTGTAGTTTTCCCAAACATTACATGTGTTTGCAGAAGATTTCCCATCCAGGCTGCGGTGGGATTAATGTTTTTTTTAACCACCGGTTCTGTGGGCGTGGCTCTGTGGGCGTGGCAAGGGAAGGTTACTGCAAAATCCCCAGCCGGTTCTCCAAACTACTCAAACTTTCCGCTGCAGGTTCTCCAGAGCCGCTCAGAACCGGCTGAATGCCACCTCTGCGTCCAGGGATTCATTGGAGGGAAAACATTTCCCTAAGAGAAGTTTTTATGCAGGCAAAATCCAGAGCCCTGGGCAGAACTCCCGGAGGTGGTTCCTTCCAAAAGGCCACTGGGTTTTCCTTTTTTTTGCTTCTTCAGTTCTGACTGAATGGTGGGCAGTGGAACCTGTTGCCTTTTGGGAAAAGCCCCTTTGGGACCATCTCTGGATGATGGAGCATCTCCACAAACATCCCTCCATTGTGCATCCAAGGGGGGGGGGTGTCGGAGAGGTGGAGAGCAGTAAACTGCAGAGCATCATTGGCTCAGCGCAGAGCTGCTCTCTTGTTGCCTGAGCAACGGAAAAGAAGCCCCCTCCCCAATTGGAAACCAAACTGGAGCCCAGCACTGCCTCCCAGTGGCTTTGCCAGCAATGCAGAGAGAGAGAGAGAGGAGAGAGAGAGAGACAGAGAGAGGAAGGAAGGAAGGAGAGAGAAAGACAGAGGAAGGAAGGAAAGAGAGAGAGAGAGGAAGGAAGGAAAGAGAGAGAGAGGAAGGAAGGAGAGAGAGAGAGGAAAGAAAGAGAGAGAGAGGAAGGAAGGAAGGAAAGAGAGAAAGGAAGGAAAGAAAGAGAAGGAAGGAAGGAGAGAGAGAGGAAGGAAGGAAAGAAAGAAAGAGAGAGGAAGAGAGAGGAAGGAAGGAAGGAAAGAGAGAGGAGGGAGAGAGAGAGAGAATTTTCTTGGGACAGACAGACAAACAGACACTTTTCCAACCTCCGTTTATTAAGTCACTGAAGCAGCCACAGATGATAAAATGGTAACTTAAGAGACCAGCAAAGGAAAACCGGAAACTGGAGAAAATCACCACTGCCAACGTCCTTGGGTTTTCACATGGGATGGGGATGGGGACTGGGGGCTGGGGGGCGTCTTTCCTACACAGGATCTGCCCCCTTGAAGGCGAAATTGCAAGATCGCGAGGGCTTCTCACACAGCAGGGCCAGGCAAAGCTTTGGAGGCAGCCGAGTGTTTTCTGCCTTCCGGGCTCTGAATAATGAGGCCGGGGCCCCCAGCAGAGACCCCTGGGGGGAGGGAGGGGCCTCCAGGGAGCAATTAGCAACCCTCGGCTCACAGCTCACGGCAGGATTGTTGCGATGCGTTGCGATGCAGAGGTGGGGGGGGATTCAAACACACCGCCGGCAGCAAAGCATGTGGACGAGCAGCTGAGGGACACGGGGCCCTTTCGGGCAACTGGGCTGCCGTGGGGGGCTCCCGGTGGGGGTGGGGGAAATCCACACTGGGTGGGGAAGGCAGCCTGAGAGGGCGGGGCTGGAAGGCCCCGGAGACCGACTGCAGCCAATCCAATCCTTTTGTGTCCTGCCAAGACCCTCCCAGAGGCAAACTCTGCACGCCCCCCCCCCCGACCTCCTAGGCCTCCCCCTTGCCCCTCCCTGGGACCTGGGGTGCCTCTTCCCCTCCGCGTCACCCAAAGGGGCAGCTCCACAGACTCACCCCCAGGAGAGCCCTTGGGAGACACGTTTTCCTGGAGCCCTGAAGCCCACCTATTGGCTGATCTGCCCCCTCCCCACAGAGGGAGCAAAGGGCAACTGCAACCCCCCCCCCTCGGGGGAAGACAACTGCTGCCCAGAAGCCCAGGAGGGACGGCTGCCTCCAGAGCTGAACAAGGGGGCCTGGGGAAGAGCGGAGGGCGAGGGCGGCAGCGCCATCACCCGCCTCCCCCAGGCAACCTGCCCCCACCTTCCCCAACCAGCACCAGCCCCAGGCAGCCCAAGGCGGGAGCTGCAGTCCACCGGGGTCCAGAGACGCCCCTGGCATCAACCGGACGGCCGACAGCCCGGATGATGTTGGATGGAGCTGGGGTGGGGCCCAGAGCGGCCTCCCTGCCTCTGCCCGCCCTCTTCCCCCCCCCCTCTCTCTCTCTCTCTCTCTCCCACACACACCCCCCCCCCCCCAATTCCTAGACATCCTTCGGGTTGTAACACAGCAGGTTGAACTGGAGGTTTTCGTTCCAGTGCCGGAGAAGCACGAACAGCTGCTGAGCCGCCGTCTTGAGGGCCGGCAGGTTCCGCCCTTCCGGGATGTCCTGCTCTCCCAGCCATCGGCTGGCCTTGGCGGCCACCAGCTCCCACTCGATGAAGTAGGAGGCCGAGCTGTGCTCCAGCCACGCCAAGGCCACCGCCGTGGCCCACAGCATCCCCTCCGGCTCGGCTCGCTGCTGGAGCTCAACGTCGGCCAGCCACGCCTGGAGTTCGGAGGTCTCGGTCTCCGAGCCTCGGCCGCTGTCCGGCGGCGATGGGGCGTTCTCTGGGCTGGAGCAGCTCTGGATGGTGATGGAGGGCGGGGACAGGCGGCCCTCGGCCCCGGGGACCCGGGAGGAGGTTTCCGCTGCAGGAGGACGTCCACGCAGGGCGGCCTCGCCCTCCCCTTCAGCCACGCTCTTGGCTTCTCCCGGAGCTTCCGCGTTCCTGGAGCTGCTGGAAGGACTGAGGCCCAGGCGGTGGCAGGCGAAGGGCGAGGACCACCTGAGCTTCTCCAGGGGGATGCGGATGGCCTCGGAGAAGGCCTTGTTCAAGAGGAAGGGGCCAGAGGCCAGCTGGAGGGACACCTGGGGAGAAAGGCGGAGGAGAGGGCCTCAGTGAGAGAGCTCCATCTCTTCAGATGTTGTGGGCTTCTCCAAAGCCCAGGGCAGGAGAAGCCGAGGTCCCTCAAGGGCAGCTCAACGCTGGTAGCCTGGTTTTCCTCAGCCAGCCCAGCTGGAAGGCCTCACAGCATCCGTCTCTCGCTCTGGTCCTCTCCCCACCTCCAGCAGGAACTCCAGGATCTTCTGACCTGCTCTTGGGACGTGCAGAAGCCCACCTGAGATTCGGAGAAGTGGCATGGATTCTCCTCTGGAGGGACTCACCTGACAGCCAAGGCCGGCCCCCAACAGCAGACGCTTGAAAGCAAATTAAGGTTGCTCAAGCCCCCCCACCCCCCAACGGAGACCTGACTGAGAACCAGGTTTCTACAAACCAGGATGGAAGTTTGCCTAACAACAGACAGCCCAGCATTGGGCATCGGACTCCGGATAAAACAGGGCAGTGAAATGGCAAGGCATTTTTGCATGCATTGTTAAGGGCAGGGGTCTCCAAACTCCGCCCCTTTAAGACTGCTGGACTTCAACTCCCAGCACGGCTGGCTGAGGAATTCTGGGAGTTGAAGTCCACAAGTCTTAAAGGGGCCGAGTTTGGAGTCCCCTGCCGTATCCGATTTGAACCTGGTTTGTAGCTTGTTTTGGTTCAGATCCTGGTCCTGGGAATGCAACCGAAATACATTTCTTCCACCTTCCTGCTTAGATGGCGAGAGAGTTTGGAGGAAAGTAAAATCTTTCAACTTCCTCAAAACTTTTTTTTTTAACTTTTTATTTTTTAACTTTTGTAATATGTGTTGTTGTTTTTTAAACGTTGTACGCTGCCCTGAGTCCTTGGGAGAAGGGCGGCATATAAATCCAATCAACCAAACCAAACCAAACCCAATCAACCAAAACTAAATTTTCCCAGGTAGCCCCAGTCGTCCTCCCCCCCCCCCCCGGCCCAGCGTGCTCACCAGTGGCAGATAATCGACATTTTCATTCTCATTTTCCGAACTGAGCTCATTGCCCTTGGCAGGAAACTTCCCCATGAAGCCTCGGGCAGCCTTAGTCAGGAGCCTGGCCTTGTTAAACGTCAGCCTGGAGGAAGGAGAAACCGAGGCAATCACACGGCCTATCCCGCCCCCCCAGGGGTCTTTTTAAAAGGAAAACATTTCACCTTCTAAGAAAACAAAAGTCAGAATTAGTTATTTGTTCTCACTGCTAGGAAATCCCACCCACCCCCACCCCCCTGTGTTCTAGGTTGGGTCTTTTCTACATTAGTTTCCATCCATTGCTTGATCTGAGTTCCAATTGTGGCGATCACAGAACGTGCAAAATATTTTAAGTTTAAAATATTAATATTTAAAACATGGGGAATGTAACCTCCAGAAGATTCAGAGGGGTGGGGGGGATAATAAACCCTGTTTATTGCCGGGGAACCTAGTAACACTTAATGCCAAATTTTAAGAGAATTCCTGACGGATTTTCTTAAAAGTCTGCATATTTTCTTCTCTTCTCGTGTGAGTAAAACAGCCACTCTTCTCGGGGACAAAGAGCGAATTTTACCTGGCACCGAAGAAGTTTTCGATGGACTTTTGAGAGGAAGCGGGGGGGCTGCGTAGTAACCCTGTAAAGACAAGGGGACGTTAGCCATGCCGTACGGAATAAATTAGAGTAGGGGGGGGGCTCCAAATTTGGCAACTTTAAGACTTGTTGACCACCCACATAGGAAACCGCTGCCGATCAAAGAGAAGGACCCTGAGCTGGGCAGGAATAAATAATGCTTTTCCCCCCCCCCCCTCTCTCCTACCGTCTGGGAAACTCTGGCGATTCCCCCCGGCGGAAGGAAGTGAGGCAGGAGGAGACGGAATATTCTCTTCTGCGTCTGCAGTGGGAAGAAAGGGGATCAGGAGGATCCTGAAGCAGCCAATCCGTCGGCTCACGCGTTGGGCGCGTTGGTGCACGGCATCACCCGGAATGACATTGCTTAGCTGGGGAAGGGGCTGCAGTCCTGACCTTTGGCCCCTGGAGCCAGTTTTACGTTCGGGGACCCTTCAAGCGCTTTGTTGCAGGAGGGAAATTAAAGAGGGGAAGCTCCACGGGGGGTGGGGGGTGTTTCCTGGCAGCCGAGTGGAGGAGGAGGGACTGCTGAGCCCCGGGTGGGCTCCTCTCTCAGGGTAAACAAAGAAACAGGGGCGTGGGTGAGTTTTCAAGGCAGGCGGCTTCCGTTTAAGGACGAGGGGAACTGCTTGCTAGGACCTCAAAGTTGTACAGGTAGTCCTTGACTTATGACCGCAGTCGAGCAGGATGGGAAAAGCGGCTCCAGGGAGAATCTTACCTGGGTGAGGCAACCCAGGGCCTCCGCCGCCGTGAATCCGACCCCAGCTAGCCGAGAGTCCCCGGTGCCACCGCCGGCCCTCGGCCTCTGAGCTCCGTTGGCTGGAGGGCTTCATCAGCAGACCTCAACAAGAGAGGAGGGGGGAGGGGAGGGGGGGTCCGTCTTAAAAGAGGACCCTGTTCTAACCCAAGGAAATATTTTGGAGCGGTGAGCAAGGCCCAAGGAAAAAAAGGCCCGGGTCCTTGACTTACGACCAGGGTTTCCAAGCAGTTGCTAAGTGAGTCGCACCCGGCTTTACAACCTTTGATGGGGACCGTGCTGCCTGGGGAATTCTGGGAGTTGAGATCTGCTCATCTTTAAGTGCCGGGATTGAGAAGCGCTGTCTGGGTTTTGGATGCCAGCGCAGTGTCTTCCCGAGAGCTTTGAGCCTCACCTGTGTTGGGATATTTCAGGAGGCTTGGCAAATAGTTGTTGCTGCTCAGGTCGACCGGCACAAACGCCGTGAATTTGCTGATCACGTTGCAGGATTTGCTGGTGTGCACAGCGTTGGCCTGGTACCGTCGCCCGGACCCTGCGGACGGAGAGAGCAAAAGCCTCAGGTAAATTGCGTGTGAGCTGGGACTCAGCTAATCTCCGGACGTCTTTTCTCTCCCATCATTTGGGCTGCTGAAAAAGTTCTGCAAACCCCAGGTGGAAAATGCACGTCTTTTTAATCCTTTTCCTGCCCAATCACGGCCGGGGAACTTAGGACCCCAGACCCATTTACAGACGGGAGTTCCCTGCTTTGCATTAAACATCCAGGAGCAGCGTGGGATTCGCCTTGCGGATGTTCAAAGACATCGAGAAAGAAATCCGCATTTTTCTGGAGAAAACAACCTAAACTGTCAGAAAATAATATATATATATATTTATATTTATATTTATATTTATATTTATGGCCACCCCAAGGCCTCCCTGAGAGAGAGAAAGGGGCGGCTGAGAGGCCAGTGGGAGAAGACCAGGGCTGCCCGAATACCGTGCTCGATCTCAAACTCCCTCTCGGCCAGCTGCTCA